TTTGAAAATTGAAGCGAATGCAATCTGAAGATGCTAAATATTTTATATGTTGGATTCGGCTCCTCTTCTCACGCGTCAGGCGTCCAGACGCCAGATGAGAGCGACGATGCGCGTGACACGGCGGGTGCCTCTCTGTGCGCCGTGATTAACTGTGCAAACAAGGCCCCCAGTGGCGGGGCCTGTCTCATACCAGGCAGCTTGATAAGACACACACAGATAAATTACATTCCTGTTTCTGAAAGATGGGCAACAAGCACCCTGTTTATCAGACCTGAGCTCAGCAGCATTGACATCATGTGATTTCTACTCATCTTATAGCCTCAATAACCTCTCTGACCTGCCATGAATACCTCACTGCAATGCAGATTTTACACGGTCCAGTGTCACCCTGGGTGTCAGTCAAGTGTGACACATGGGAGGGTTATGGTTGTGCCCATAGAAATGAATGGACGGTCCCCACAATGGTATGAGTACAGGTCTGTGTGTGTGTGTGTGTGTGTGTGTGTGCTTGTTTCTGCCCTTCGTTGATTGGCACTGGACTCCGCACTGCATGAAGATGTGCTGTCGGTACAGTAGCACTGTACAGAGAGACAGCCTTGGCTGGGCTGGCCCTGATTTGTGCTTTGCAAAGTCCGCCATACAGTGCACCCCTTCATTCAGAGCGCATGTTACTCACTGTGCCCGAGGCTCTAAGGTTAACCCACTGTTCCGCAAGTAAATGGGAAAATCCTTCAGTATTTTTATGAGAACATTTTCAGGATACTGCAAACTTTGAATGGATCTTTTTTCCCACCCACAACTAGAGGTTTGTCTGTCCTAAAAAAGGTCACGATTTACACAACAGCACTCAGCCTTTTGTCAAAGTGCCTTTTAAAAAGCATAAAAATATATTTTTTTACGTCTGAAACATATTTGTTTTTAGAAAGCATAAAAAATTCTTTCTATTTTGTTTAAAAAACAAAAACATGCCGTGTGTATTTGAAAAGAAAGAACTCCAACGGCCTTGCTGTCAGCTTTGTTATTCAACTGTTGTATCCTTTGCTCTTGCGCTATTAAAAGAAAGGTTATTCTACAGAGGAAGAGATTATTCACTTTAAAATACCTTGTATCTGACCCAAACAAACAAATACATTTCCTCACTGACAGACCCTTACTGGCACAGACTCACAGACACGCTGATAAACAAAGACACATTCACACGCTTCCAGACACATATATGTACTATAAGTATGTAGAAAAGTAATACAATTAATTTAAATCAATGCTAATCTCCTCCATGCGGGATAAGATGACAGACTTTCAGAACACTGCTTCTGAACCAACGTTTGTAGATGTGGACCAACTTCTCCTATGTCAGCATCTGAGTACAGAAGTCAAAGGCAAGCACCAAATGGCCTTTTTGAAGTACACTTCATCCCCTCTCCTCAAATAGGGCTGAATCTGAATGCTTTCTGTATCTATCAGGCTTGGGGAATAGAGATGATGCTTCAATCTCAACTCTTCTCCATCTGCACCCCCAGACTTCGGCTAGCTGCTCCTCTACCTTATGCATTTCATCAGGGCAGGACCTGTTGCTAGGTAACCCTGGGGCACAGCTGCAAGCTAAATCAAACCCTTTTTTCGGCGTTATGAGCGAGATGGGCTGTAATTTATTAGTCCGATATAGGAGGCAGCAGTGTGGAGTAGTGTGGTTACCCTATCGGACAAGCAGAGCAGAAGGGAGCAGGCTCAAATCCAGTCATAAACGTTACTATCATAATCCAGTGAAAATCACACCATTCTCTTTTCGTGCGTGTGTATGTATATATATGCAATATATCGTTATAGTCAAATAGACATTTACACACACACATGTCCGTTGATTTGCAATACTCAAATTCTCAGTGTTTTTTTTGTTACAGAGAGCAATAATTTAATAATAGGTAGGCTAAATAGTTGTTTTAAGGGGTCAATTCAAGGCAAATAGTCTCAAGCATCTTACAATAAGCAAATCGTAAGTACTTACGGGTCGTCGATTAATTTAGGGCTATTTTAAGAATACACACAATTAGAGCATCATCCAGGGATTCTCATTTATGAGCTTTTTATTGTAAAAGCCATTTCTCCGTTCAGTCTTCAACTCCCGTCATTTGCGTCGATCTGTAAATCTATAAAGCCTTATTTTCAGTAAAATAATTGCAGCCTGAACTCAATTGCCTTGACTATTTTATGTTGTATTTTTATTTCAAGCATGCAGTACAAAGACTAGACTCATAAGATACTTTTTACTAACTGGAGTCGCAAGAAATAAAAAATTAATTGGTGAATGACAATATGATCTGATATCCATCCTTATGAACTTCGTCTTCATCTGTCCGTCCTTTGACGCCTGAATCATCTCCTTTGGCGTAATGAAAGTACACAGGCGTGCACTAATAAAGTAATCGTGCTTTTGTGAAACTCATCCCTAATGTGCGACTGATGAATATTTTTCGGATGGCTCCTTCAGGCCATTTCTGATCAAAACAAACGCACCTGCACTTTTGAAATAGCATCTCCCCCTGGACCTGTAAAAATTGACTCCCTGGCTTCCTCTACGAGCCAATTATGCGCCATCTGTTCTCTCCTCGGCTCTCCGGCTCTCTTTTTCTGCTATTGTTTCTATAATATCAGACTGTGTAAATTGATGTTATTGGGTATAGAAAATGAGGAGTGATGGAGCCAGGATTAATCGAACCCAACAGCCGCTTCGAGCCTACTGGCCAACACCCCGGACCAACGCTCCGAAACCCATCTGATTAATATCTGACGAAAAAACTTTTCACATGTGATTACATGTTTTTTTTTATACAGTTATGACTTATTGTTGTGTTTGCTGTCCTGCAGAGAAATTAGTTCAGGCAACATCAAGCGTAATTAACAAATTTAACGCACGCCGTTTCCGATTTAAAACTCAAAGGCAGGCAAAATCATTTAAATTATTAATAGCGCAGACTAGTACTGTCAAAGAAGCGGGTTAACTTTGATTTTACCAAATGATTCTATTTAGGTGAGGAGATGACGGGCGATGAGGAGCATGAAGCTCGTCCCTTGGCGGGGGCCACGTTATTCCCCGTTACAGTAGGTATTGGACTCATTACTCTCTGTCACTCGGGACAGGGAAGCAGCGCGCTGATTTAATTCCGCGATGGTTCGAGGCCCGCGGACAGCTGGATCCCCATCCTAGCAGCCGCGCCAATAAAGCTGGGATCTATTGCGAATGTATATCATTTACAACAGCACCTGACAGACAAACAATAACTATAATCAGTCATGGGGGTGAGGTGCTCGGCACACTTGCACCGACAGCCGCCAACCACTGCAGCTGGACAAAGACGCATCTGCTACAACTGGATGTTTGGTGTACGTTTAATTTCGAGAAATTATTACAGGGATATAAAAGAGAAAGTACCGGGTGTCTTCCGGATGCCAGCGGAACTGCAACAAACAGACCCAACGGAGACTCCTGCGGATCCGGAACCGGGAGATACGCGGGGCGGCACAAACAGGACAAAATCAAACCAATAAATACATGTACCTGTATGACTTTGGTTTATACGCTCCGCTACATTTCTATAAATTAAGAATAGCATAGTTAGTTCAGCCTTTTTAGATTTTACTTCAGACTTGAAAATCGCGCAGAAGGAAATTACTTTCCTTATATGATCGCACACTGCATACCACAGTACGTTTTATCTGTCATATTGCCCTCGCACTGTACTAAGAATGATGAGAAGGAAAGTGCGGCTTCTGTCCCAGGACCGTATCATTATATAATGCAAAGGATCCCAACACAGTTCCACGGACAGATACTGCATGTTCCTTATGCTGCACTGGAGCAGATGCGCTTTACCTTCTAACTTAAGTTTAATGGGTCTAAGGTGGGCGAGAACATCCCTGACTGTCTCCCAAAGTCAGATCTCATAAGTGGACATTGAGTTTGACACTGAGCTAGTATAACTGTACGGTCAGACAACACAGCACTCACAGTGTCTGTCGAGTTAAAGATATTGACTGTAGTGAGAGCGCATATTAAAGTACGCAACATGTCCTACTATTATTTAGGGAATCGCACACATTCCTGTTTAAGCAAAATTATGTACATTTTGTGATTCAAGATGAACAGGGACGAGGTCCTAATCCATCAGGATTAGACTTTGGCGTGGTCAGTGTAGGTCTGCTGGTCAGTCAGGCATATAATCAGAGCTCAATGAGACACAGATAACACGTGGGTATGCCAAACCATCAATGTCACGGAGTTTTGTTCCACTACTACAGATAGCACGGCACGTGGTTAAATTAAATATCCCGCGGAATAAAGTCTGGCAAACAAGTTTTGGCTGCCATTTGTTTAATATATATATTAAATCACACGTAGGGCTAAATATGACTGCATATATTAAATTTCTATGAATGAACTGGATTACGCCCAAAATCTTTCTCAAAAAAACTTATTTTACAGACCGTCATTCGAAACGTAATTGTCTTCTGCCATCTAGTGGTTTTATGATGAAAGTGACGAGGCACCTGTTTGGTTTTTTTGTCATTAACATTCTGAAAAAGCTTGAGATGGAAAAAAAGAACTTTTTACAACCGGACTTTCAACTTTCAAAATATTCACTTTAAACAAAGAGACTCATCCCTTCATGCTCCATATCCTTCCCGTTTATGAAACTTCTGCAATTTCCAGCTGCTTCTGGTGCACAAACTCCCAGAGTTTTTGCTTCTTGTTTGCTTTTTAATGTCCTTTCTTTAATTTTCTTCTCTCAGTATATATATATATATATATATATATATATATATATATATATATATATATGTACATTTAATTAATTTGGAAAAACTGGAAATAAGAACAAATAAAACTTTTGCAAATAATGGCCAAACATTTATATTACAAAAATCATTTTACAGACAGTCATTCAAGAAGCATTATTGTCTTCTTAGTATATATGATGAGATTAATATTTACACTTATCAGAGTTGTTCTGAATCTTATGTGTTTCTGTGGTGTCCCTCCACCACACCTTCCACTTCATTTCCCCCGTCTGTCTTCTCCATTCCAGAAGACACAAACCTGCCTTCTCTTTCATCAGTGGACACGCCATCATACTCTACATTGGCTTCAACTAGTGTTTTTTTAATGTTATTTTCTTTACACCCTCTTTCCTGCAGTTGCCCTGCCTCAGACTCCACTCCTCCACCCGTCTGCTTCCCCTCTCTTTCATCACTCGCTTCTTCATCTGACCATTCCTCCATCTCCTTCTCCAGCTGTTGCACCCTGGCCTCCATCTTGCGAGCGCTGGACTCCAGCTCAGCCATAAGTCGTGCCAGTTTGGTCTGCAACGTGCCCAAGCCGTTCTCCAAATTCTCCACCTTCTGCTCTATCTTCTCCTCCTCTTTCAGGTTGCCGTCACCTGTATCTGTGTCATCCAACATGCCCATCTTGGTAAGGATCTGCCGGCCCTTCTCCTCCAGGAGACGCTTAGCTGCCGGGAACTCAGCTAGCACCTCTGTCAGGTCTTCCTTGGACAGGCTGAAAAGATCTGAGTGGCCGATGCTGCGGATGTTTGCCGTACGCCGGTTGCCAGATTTGTTTCCTTGGAGAAGAAATCATACAGGCAACTAACATTCCAAAACACATCCCTTAAAGAGAATCAGCTAAAACTAGACCCATGATGTCTGAAGAACTGGATGTCAAATGCTCTTCAGAAAAGCATGCTTTACCTTTGATGTTGAGAATGCTGATTTCTCCAAAGAAGTTCCCATCGCTCAGCACAGCGAACTGTGTGATGCCGTCATCGGCCACCACAGCTAGCTTGCCCTCCTTGATGATGTACATCTCATGCCCTACATCCCCCTTCTTGCAGACATACTCCCCAGGGCTGTATACCTGTACCGAGAGATGGGAGCAGCAGGCTAATGGGAGTTTTACATATACAAAAGTGTTCTGAGGGCAGAAGGAACAAATGATTGGTTCGGAGAGATAACCAATCAGATTGCAAAGGAGGTGGGCCCAAGCAACTAGAGGAAGTGGGACCAAGACATGTGATTAGTTGGTCCCACCTCCTCTAGTTGCTTGGACCTATGTTCTTTACAATCTGATTGTTTATCTCTCTGAACTAAACATTTTCCGTCTACTTTGTACTTTGTGTATGTACAACTACCACATGCAAGCAGTAGCACATTCTCATGAAGCTAGAAGCAAGTCATACTGAAGCTACACTAGCTCCCTGACTGCCCTGGTTAGCTGTGAGCATGTAGCATTATGCTAGGAAGAAGGTTTAGATCAGCATGAGCTATACTAATATTGGAATGGTGTCATCTGTTGGGTGCTTTATTGAGCTTAACATCAGCAGTAGGTACAAAAATGCAGTGATTATGGAGTCAACCTTAGTGTACCACCCTGTGGTGGTGGTTTGGCTTTACCTGGGGTGTAAGCTTCAAAACCAATTCCTCTAGCAGGCTGGTCTCGCAGTTCTGGAAGATGGTGACCTTGGAGAGAGTGGGCAGGTGTACGCTGACAGCAATCGCCGTGCGTAGACGACCGGGCAGCTGTTGCAGGATCTCGTTTTCCCGCGTGATCTTCTTGTTGATGTGCAGATGCTGATACCAGTTGTTGACGCGGTTGCGCAGCTCTTTGTCAATACGCCGGCTCCGCAGGTAGCTCTTCACCAGCTCGTGGTTGGGGAAGAAGACGTTGTCTTGGTCTCGCAAGTTAACGATCACGCTCCCCACGTTGCCCACCACCGAGGCGAACACCAGCACGGCGATGAGCAAATCGGCGATCATGAACAAGTACTCCTCTTCACGCTGGGGATCCGGCGTGTCCCCCACTGTGGTGAGGGTCAGCGTGGAAAACCAGAAACTGTAGAAGTACTGCCTGCGCTCGGAGGCGAAATCAGGGTCAGAGATGTTCGGGTACACCCAGGGGTCCGAACCGAAGCCAATGTAATCGGATAGGGCGAAATAGAGGCAGGAGTTCCAGTGGATGAGAATAAAAATGTAAAGCATGAGTTTGGAGATGCGGAAGATGTTGGGGTAGGATGTGCGGGTCTCCATGCGGTCAAAGGCCTCCGACAGCCTGGGCGAACGCAGAAGGCGATTGATTCGCACCAGTGGGCAGTGGATGCCCAGCCGAAAATACAGCAGGTCAGTGGGCAGGATCGACAACACGTCCCACAGGAAGTGCGAGGAGTGCATGTAGTGCTGCCGCAGGCGTGTTAGGTCACGCACCAGGATGCCCTGCTCCAGGTACCCTGCAGGGGGCGACGTCAGCATGGTCACAGTGGCATTTCGGGCTCCAGTGTGTGGGTGTGTGCATGTTATTACCTGGATTCCACAAGCACTCAGATTTATATGAGTGAATGTTATAAAACAAAAAACAACTTAAAGGGCAACTTCATAGGTAGAGGCACCTATTATTCTAATATGTAAGATTTTTATTTAATTAAACAATTAATTAATTACTACTACTGATAATAATACAACTTATAAAACAGGTTAACTTTTGATTTTGATACCCCAATGCGAGAATAATAGGAGTTTGAGATTGCTAACAGAATTTAATTTACAGTGAAAATGAAATTAGCGATCATTATAAGATGGCGCCCTAGGAGACTGATCTCAGATGCACTTGGATGTCTTTGAATATTAATTAATATGCCAGTTAACTGACACTCAGATAAGGGACAGCAGCACTTTTCGCACATTTGTGCCAGTATCTGACATTGATGTGCGGGCACCTTCTGGCACTTCTTGAACGATGCCGCACTGGGCGATTGCCCACCTTGCCCTTGCCAGGACAGGTCCATGGTACCAAACATCAGTAAATATAGAGGTGAGAAACTCTGAGACATCATTCGCTTTCCGTTACCTGAGGGCTTCCTATAAATTTGAATCTCATTCACCGTTTCTAAGTATCTTCAGTTTATTGTGCTAAATACAATATTTTTAATAATTTGTGAAATTTAAGAAGGACAAAACACATTTACTAATATTTTCACATGAACCCTATAAATAAGTAATCATTAAAAATAAATTCTGTATTACATATTTTAAGGGGCACATTGCCAAATATTTAGAAATATCTGGTTTTCACCATTAAAATTCCTCCTTAAACCAGTTTTATGACAACATATCTGAATTATCATGATTGTTAATTAAAGATTTAACTTCAAAGTATAAATGATTTGCTCAAATAAGAGATAAGAGTCCCCTCAAGCCTCCACCAAACTGAAAAGCAACATAGCTGGTGAACTTCTGACACTGAAGCACCGATCAACACAAACACTTTAAATAAGGGCTGACGGCATGTCTGGGGCTCTTTCCAGGTAGTTCTCCTCTCACTATACCCATAGCACTGGTCTGACGATCAGGAGGGTTGGCTGATAAGATCATCTAGCTCCTTGGCTTCTGCACAGACTCAGTCAGGTCTGCCCTCTGCCCTGTGTGGGCCCCCATGGAATGTGACCTTACCTGTATGGAACTTGATTATAATATCTGCCATGTAGAGGAGGTCAGATATGTAGTCAATTGTGAGCCATAGTGCCAGGTAGTTATAGTCAATGTCATAGAAGCAAGTCCTGCATGACAGAGTCAATAAAGGTGTTAGTTCATACAATTCTATTGTGAAATTTGACTGAGTCTCCGTACCAGTTAATTTTTCTACTCAACTATATTCCCCCTGGAACCTTTGAGTACTGTATGTGAAGACCTCTGTTCAGAGCTCGGTCAAACCTGCAGATGATGATCACCCAATTGTAGAGCACAGGAAACACCATGATCTGAAGCCAGGCATAATAATACTCTTCTGATGGGTCAACTGTGCACTCTTTCCAACTGCACACACATGGGCCAAGAGAAAAAACGGAAGCAATACAAATCAGTATGTGTATGTTTTGCTGCTAATTATCTGTATAACTTGAAGGGCCCGTTTGACCAGAGGAAGTGAATGAAAGGGGGGTTAGACACAGATCACTACAGAGTATTCAGTGATTAATAAGCAAGCCACTGTTTCTACAGTGAACTAGATTAACGTCACAAGATACAGGTCAGCATGATGTACTCATTTCATCATTACTCACTTCAGCTTGTTTTTGACCTCGAACAGGTTTTTCCGATTCTTTCCCTCCTCGTTCTCTTCTGCCACCTTTTGCACGACCTGCCTCCGCAGTAGCTCTCTCCAGCGACTCATCCCGCTTTCCAAAGCCCCTGGCCGTGCAACAAGGTGACCTCAACCCCAACGACGTGCACCGGGAGCCCGCAAATGTGTCTACCGCAGAGCTCTTTGCTGAGAATGCCAGCCTGGGGTGCCTTGCCTGCGGAATGGCGATGCCAGGTGTTTGGTCACATGCCTCCATCTCTATGACGACAGCAGTGCTCACCTGTAATCCCGAGGAGCATTGTATCCATAGCGGCACGGACAGGTGCATGCCCCAAGGAACGAGTCCCCCAGCTGGTTCCCTTTGTTAGAACTGTCTAGGTATAATTCTGGAGAAAAGGAGCTGGCTGTAAACATTTTATTGTATTTTCAGTTTCAGCATGACCTGTAGAATGTGTGTGTGTATGGATAGATAGATAGATAAATAGATAGATAGATAGATAGATAGATAAACAATACATTAATGTTCTATTAATAAAATTTATTGAGATCCAAAATAAAGGATTTACGGAGGCAATAAATAGAAATGAATCTAAATTATGTAAATAATTGCGTGATTCAAGCTGAACAGGGACGAGGTCCTAATCCATAAGGATTAGCCTTTGGTGCAGTCAGTGTAGGTCTGCTGGTCAGTCAGGCATATTATCAGAGCTCAGTGAGACAGAGGTAATAAATAGGTATACCGAACCATCCATGTCAATGAGGTGATAGTTCCAGTACTTCAGACAGAACCGCGGTTTGCTATTTTTTAATTGTTTAGTTATATATCACATGGAATAAAGATTTGCAAACAATGTTAGGCTGCTATTTATATATTAAATCAAACGTAGGCCTGCATATGATTGTACGTATTGAATTAATTTCAATATACTGGAAATAAGAAGAAATAAGATTTTTTGCAAATAATTTTGGGGGACGTCTAATAGGCGCCAATTTTGGGGGAAAACTAGAACAACCTTCTACTTTTTCCTCATACATTACACATATTTCAATATGTATGTAATGTAGCTAAAATGAATTCACAGTATTACAACTGGGTCGGAAAACAGACAAGCGCCCCTTGGGACGGTTTTCTGAAGGCAGGTCCACATTTCCTGAAGATGTCGCCGCGCCCCGGGACCGCGCTTCCTGAAGACGTCGCCGCGCCCCGGGGCCGCGCTTGCCGATGACGTCACCACGCCGCTGCGTGAGGGTGTGTGTGCGGAGTCCGAGTAAGATGGCCGTTGGTTAGTAGAGTGATCTTGGGTTCGGAAAAAAATACGTTGGGAGCGACTTCGAGAAACGTACACAGGGAGCGGTGGCGAGTGCCTATACCTGGCCGTGTGTCGGCCCGCGGCGCGCTGCTCTGCCTTTCGGAACCGGTCCGCCCAAATGACCGCCTTGGAATGAGAATCAGTGTCTCCCACCGAGCAGGGGCACAGAAAATTGCGCGGATCTGCCAGGTGAGTAACGGGCCGCCCCCCGGATTCCCGGACCCCTCCAGACCGCACCTTGTTCACCCACGGACAGGCGTGACTCCGTGCCGGACCGTTAACCAAATGAGGCGGCAGCGTCCTGTGGTTGCGTCCTGTCATTAGTCGGGCTGGTGAAGGTTAGCTGGTTAGATTTTAGCTGTTAGTGTTTATCATGTGGTAGATGCTGGTTATATGCTCCCTAGGCGCCGTTCAGATGCTTGACAGGTGTTGGTTGGAAATTAATTAGATACGGGATAAATTCTGGATAGTCCTGGAGAAATACGGAATAGATACTGGATAGATGGTGATTGTATGTTGGTTAGATGTCGGATAGATGTTTTATTACGTTGATCTGTAATGACTGACCTGGGCTACTTCCGACACGAAAGCAGGCGGTGATCAGAACAGCATTTCCCTCTGCAAAGGCTTTAGCGCCTCGTCCCTGACCTCCGTCCTGGGCTCAGACTCTGTTTGGGGGCCGCTTCTCTCCCGGTGTCCGGTCAAGCTCCGGGTAACTGATCTCCCCATATCAACCGTCTGCCAGCTTCTGTGTTTGGTGTTTACATCTCAGTCCGGGTTGTTGGTGCAACAGTGAAATGCCAGTCATACAGTGTGACCTTATAAACCTGTACAAGACAGACTGGATTGAGAGGAGCTGTAACAAATCTGCCCACCTGTGTAACCCCGATAATGGCCCATTTCAGTGGCAGGGAACAGGCTGTTTGCTGTCCTGTGTCATGCTGTTCTGACTGTGCTGTCCTGGCCACAAACAGTCTCTTCCAGCACCACGTGTCTTTGCTGTAGTAAAAAATGCATTTTTTTAAACTTCGGGATCATTTTTTTCCATTAAATGATTTTTTGTGCCTTTAAATGTCTATACAGGGACACAGCAAAGACGAATCACCTGATCTTTGACCTATATACATTTGGTTTGGTTTTATAATTGCATATTCTGTCTATTTCGGGGAAAATGGTTCCCAGATATTATATGTTGAAATTGACTACTGTACTACTGTCAATATGTCATAAGCATGCTGTTAAAACACACCTTAAAATGTAAAATCCGAAACGAGAACATGAGGAAAGATAATTCACGGAAGCATTAATATTTAAACCAAGTCATGCGTCTGCGTTTTGTGATAGTACATAAAAACTGTAATAGCCTTAGCTAGTAAAACATTAAGTCAAAGAGCCTTTGTTACAATCTGTTTCCAGTCTTTGCTGTTATGTGCAGAAGTGTGATTTGCCTGGTGAGTGTCAGCGTGTGCTGGTTGTCTCTGTGTGTTTGAAATGCAGCTGTAGGGTTTTTAGTAGTGTGAACCCACTGCAGTATAATTCATGTCAGTGAGCGGGTCTAGAACCTATGCCACACTGTTATATTTGTCTCCAAGGTTTGTGTGAATGTTCAGAGGCCTGGTCTCTCAGCAGCTTTGGGCTGTGACCAAAGTCCACAGGCATTTAATCTGATCCTCCTGTGGACACGATACGGTGACACGAGCCCCAAGGAAGACACTCCTCTGTCAAATAATTAACCTGGACTTAATGGCACACCGTGTCGGAAACTGCCAACATAAAGATTTTATAAGCTTGTAAGATACGATGTTTGTTGCGAGTAGTTCTCGTCCCCCCTGTTGGGGCTTGTCGACGGACGCTGCTGGGCTGCTGACTCTTCATGTCTCGGTTGCCCAGCCCAGAAGGGTGGAGCACCAGAAACTAACGGTTGTGGACAGGCCTGAGGTGTGAGGAGCATTCTGGTTCTTTTTTTTCCCTCCCCTGGTTGACATTTAATTAGAGCCTAGCATTCCTCTTTCTGCTCTGTCGTTCATTGCCCCGCTGACTTTGGCTTTCTTCACGTGAGGCTGTCGATGCACGGAGTTGTGCTGTTGTCACTCTTAGGTACGGACTCAGAGGACGGGAGGGCTGGGATTTCTGCCTGCCTGTGATTTCATGTAAAATGCTTGCCGTATTGGTTCCTCCTGGTGGGGGCAGCAGATTACAAATACTTGCACAGTGAATAATCGCAGGCCTTCTATGCATGTCTGTGCATAGGCTGAAGTGAGCTGTAGGCCAGTGTTTCTCGACCCAGTCCTCAGGGACCTCCGGACAGTCCACATATTTCCTCCCTCCCAGTTCCCAGTCAATCAAGAGCACCAAATGTCTGGTTCACATGTGCTGCGAGCAGGGAAAATATGGACTTAATGGGGTTCCTTGAGGATTGGTCTGAGAAACACTGCTCTGGGCTCAAGGTTTAACACTGGAAACTGACTTGGTGGTGGGCAGTATGCTAATATGATGATGTAATATATAAATCACCACAAGGGTGACGTAATCAGGCTGCTGCTGGCCGGCCCACCGTTCTATCCCTATCAAGGCCATACGGACACATGTCCTTTAGGGTAAAGTGTGTCAGTATATAAGAACTTAAAGAACCTCATGCCAAGGAATTTGATGGATGAGCCCATCTGTCCCTGTTATCTTTCTTGTTGTTTTTTTGTCTCACGTCGTGTTCAATTTTGTGCAGCTTCAAGTCGTCTTTGTTTTTTAATAAAGGACATAAAGTTGACATTGACGTTTTTGTGGAAAGTGGCCTTTGGGGGCTGGATTCGGAAGCGCGGCACTGAGAGGGAATATCTTAAAGTAGAAACTGTGGACGGTTCGTTTTGTCTCATCCCTGCCCTTTAGGTGCGCAGCTAAGGAAGGGATTCCAAGCTTGTGTGACAGATTACCGCTGTAGCAGGGGCACGAGAGGCAGGGCAGTGTGTCCCAGGGCATTCTGGGTAGAGTGGGTAAGAAGGTATGAGGAGACTTGCTTTAAATTGCCTTCAGTTCTGAGAGCATAGATGACAGTATTGCGTGCTGTGTGCGTACCCGTCAGCATGAATCATCTCGACTCGACTCGGATCCGTAGGCGATGTTTTGGAGTGGACTGTAAAACGAGTGGAAGCTGGGCAGCCAAGTGGGCGGTTATGAGGCTGACATGCGATGCTCTTGGCTCTGCATTCCACTCCCCCAGTGCTTCAGAGCCTTTGCTGTGCGTTACGCAACACGGGCTGCTATTTTCTTTTGCCTGAATGGTTACATCGAAGTCATGTTTGACATAATTTCATGTTATGAATGCATATTTGCATATTTTTGCATTTTAAAGCGTTTTAAACAGAACAGAGTACTTATCACATAAATTTCATTTATGATTGGTTTCACCGTTGTTCATTTTGTGTGGGAGATTACGTTGGTTGTGCCGCACTATGCATGGTACTGCAGTATAAGGAACAGTGCATACACTCATATGCGGTTACATTACTGTACATTACATTACATGCAGTGTATACTGTACACTTATACTGGAGTTACACAGCTGTTACTCTAGTGTTTACATGCACACTGGAGTTACAGTACTGTTATTGTAGTGTATTACACTCTAACACCCGCATGGTACCATTTATGTTGTGCCCAGGAGATTTACGGTCTACCAGATTCTACCTGACAGACAGGCAAAGCCCTTCTTCTCTGTTTCTGATTCTGACTGGGTGGGGTCCTCCCTTGTCAGGGCCGGGGGCTCGCAGGCTGGCTATGGAGTGGTGCCGACTCCAGACTGGATGACAGGGAGCCCCCAGAGAGCTGACGACCGGCCGCTTTTCCTGGGACGCCCTGCCAAGGGAGAGTGATTGCTGGGGGGGAGAGAGGGAGGCGGAGCACCTACTCATCCAGCCTCCTACTTGACATCCTCTATCATCGTCCCGCCCACCTGCCGCCCTATAGGCTGCCGCTTGGGTTCCCGAGCTTCCTCCGCCCCCCTCCCCTTTCCCCTTCCCTCCCTGTCCGAACCCCGCCCATCCCTTCTCTTACCCATCCTAGTGCCCTTCTTTCGTCTGACCTGTGACCTTTGACCCGTGCGGCAGTCGGCATGAGCTGGCTGAGCCGCTTGAACCCTCGGCCTCCTGGTGGCAGGAGTAGTCAAAAGATGGCAGCTCCCGCTCCGGTCACGGCTGACCCCGAGACCTGCCTCATGGTTTTCGAGAACCACTGGAGACAGGTGAGGAACCACACACGCATGCATGAGCACAGGTGGGGGACGCCCTGGGTCAAAGGGCACTGCTTCCTGTTCTGATGGCTGGGTTTGCTCGTTTCCTCAGGTGTCCTGGGTGCTGGATCAATGTGGCGACCCCGGATTGGCAGGGGTGGACGACCTGACCGCTGTGCGGAACCACACTGACCAAATGTTGTGTCTGCTGGCGGAGGAGAGGCCGGGGGTCGTGGCTGACGGGGGCGCCGAGTGCATGGGCCCCATCCTGGAGCTGGTGGTGACCCAGGACATCCTGGAGCGGCTGGTGCAGTGGTACCTGCGGCGCGGCCTCGATGTCGACAGCCAGGGGGCGCTGTTGAAGCTGTTTGAGATGCTGATCAGCCGCTCCCAGCAGCCCCTGCTCCAGCACAGGGCAGTCCTGCACCCGCTGCTCAGTCTACTGGGAGTCTGTGCCAACCCCCCTACTGGGTGCCCCCTCGTACTTGAAGGCAGTCTGGTGCTGCTGCTTCACCAGGTGTGTGTGTGTTTGGCTCGCCAGCCCCCCATGCTGGAGCTGCTGTTCCAGACCGCTGCCCCTCAGGGCGCCACCAACCTACTCATCTTCTCCTTGCTGGTGCCCTTCATCCACCGGGAAGGGCCCCTGGGCCAGCAGGCGCGCGACGCCCTTCTGCTCGTCATGGCAACCTCCGCTGGGAGCGACGCGGTGGCTCGCTACATTGTAGAAAACTCCTATTTCTGTCCGGTGAGTGTTTCTCCATGTGCCGTGTTCTTTGTCCCAGCGCACACGTGTTCCTAACCTGAAAAACAGATCACGTCAGAGCATCCCCCGTATGAATAAATGTCCCTTCGTTGCCGAAAAAAGAAGCTCGAAAAACAAAAAGTTTTTGTTCTTCGGGCGTGATGCGCAGTGTCAGTGCAGTGTCAGCGCAGTGTCAGCGCAGTGTCCCCACTGTGGCAGGCAAGCAAACGTGTTTAGCCATGAGTGAGTGCCCCCCTGTGGCCGCGAGTGGTCGGACTCATCTTTCTAGGAAAACATTCTTGGAAAATCCAGCCTCTTGCTCGCTCTCTCTGTCCGGCAGCGATTCTGGGGGGGGGGGGGGGGGTTACGCTTCTGGGCTTTCCCTCGTCACACTGAGCCTCCATCTGACTGCGCAGCCTGCATGGGGGCTTTTAATGCATGTTCTGTACGCTGCCCTCACCTGCCCCAGACACGGCAGCCATGTCCTTGGTGTCAGGGCTCTGAGCTGCACACACACGCTCGCATGTTATTTTGTGATGTCAGACAGCAACCTGCACCAGACCTCCCTACCTCCCCGAATGGTTATTAGGGTTTCTGTTTCCCATGATGCTTAGGGTCAGTGTAATGGAATGCCAATGTGATGTAAGCTCTGCTGACCTCTGACCCCCCATGCAGGTGTTGGCCACAGGACTGAGCGCTCTGTACTCCTCGCTACCGCGGAAGATTGAGGTGCGGGGTGACGACTGGCACGCGCTGCGGAGGGAGGACTGGGTGGGCGTGTCCTCGCTGGTCCTCTTCATGAATTCTCTGGAGTTCTGCAATGCCGTGGTGCAGGTGGCGCACCCGCTGGTGCGAGGACAGCTGCTTGACTACGTTCACAACGGCTTTCTGGTTCCCGTAATGGGACCCGCCCTGCACAAGGTGACACGGGATGCTGTGAGGGGCCTTTCTGTATGAGTAACGCTGCCATTTTAAGAGAACCTGCCCTGTACAGATATTAACCGTGACCATATGACCGTGATGCTGTGTGGCAGTCACTGTGCAGTCTTAGTCAGTCAAAAAGTTACTGATATCTAGTTGGATGGCTAGATGAACACCGCTTCAGTTCCCAAACCTCTCCTCAGGGGCACCTCAGCCGTTCCATGTATTCATAAAATTTCATAACCAGCTCAATTAATCAATTGACTTAATTGGTTAATTGACTCCATGAGGTATTGATTATGCAAAAGTGGTATACTAGTGGATGAGTCAAAAAATACACAGGAGTATTGAATGGTTGCTGCAAATGCTGGGGTGACTTTAGGAGAGCTTTAGACATTGCTTAGATGACTCACTTTGACAGGCATAATATCGTAGTTTTTCACGGGAAGTTCATTTAAAGGGGCAATTCACCCCAAAACTTAATAGCAATGTTTTAGAGGGACTTTAGTGCTATCTAGTTTTGGAGATATCGCCTGTAGAAATGTCAGTCTTTACTCGAATATAATGGGAGTGAATGGCATTCTTTCCGTGGTGATTAAAGGACCAGAAAAATACATTTTAAAAATCCAACAGCAATGTCTCTTACCAGAAATCATGACCTGGTTATTGAAATTAATCCACAGACTTTGTAGTGAGCAGTTTAATGTATGAACGTATTTTCTTCTTCCGAGCACAGCCAATCGTATCACTGCACAGAAGATATGAGCACGAGTACTCCGGTGATATTAGTAGAATTCAGACATGAATTCCTAAGAATCGACGAGTCTGTGGTTGTTCTGTAGCCTAAGTGCGGCCTTTAGCAGCCTGTGTTTGTCGTCGCAGTCCTCGGTGGAGGAGATGATCGCCAGCACAGCATACCTCGACCTCTTCCTGCGCAGTGTCACGGAGACCACCCTGCTCAAGACCTTCCTGCGCTTCCTGCTGCTACATCGCCACGACAACGACGCCATCCTGGACACGCTGCTCATGCGCATTAACAGCAACTCTCGGGTGAGGGGGGGGCAGCGTGTGGCCAGTTTTCCTGCCGCTTCCTGTGCCGGGGGGGCCTGCAGCTCACACTTCCTGCCTGTCTCCCGGCCCCCGCAGCTCTGCATGGTGTCCCTGAGCCTGTTCCGGACTCTGCTCTCGCTCAACTGCGAAGACCTCATGCTGCAGCTTGTTCTCAGGTGCGTGTCGTCCACCCTCGGCTCCGTCTCGGCCCACACCCCCAGGCCGGGCCTCGCTGACGGGCCGCTGCGTTCCAGGTACCTGCTGCCCTGTACTCACGTTATGCTGAGCCAGCGTCGCGCAATCAGGGAGGCCGACCTCTACGGCAAGTCGGCCCACAAGTTCCTCTCGCTCATCCCCGAGTGCTGCAGGCTGGACACGGCGCCACCTGGAGACCAGGATGAAGATTCTGCCCTCTGGGGTAAAGGTGGGAGATAGTGTGTGATGGCTTGCTGTAAGTTTACAGCTGTAAGGAGGTAAATGTTTCAGTGGCTGTAGTAAAACATAATACATTTTGAAGGACTAGCAGTGAAAATTATTTCAGATAGTTGTTGGCCAGATGCAGAATGGGAATAAAGCATTGGTGAGAGCAATGATGGTGGGTGATGATGATGGTGATGATGATGGTGATGATGATGGTGATGATGATGAGGAAATCATGCTGGTCTTCACAGGTCCAAGCAGCCCAAGCACGGAGTCTCCGGTACACTCCAAACCCAGCACTCCGTCCCGCCTCGCACTCTTCATCCGCCAGCAGGGCGGTGGAGGGGGCGTGTCTTCCCAGCCCGGCCAAGAAGTACCTCCCCCGTCTCCAGAGAGCCCCGCCCACCAGGTGGGAGAGGGGCGGGACTGGGAGTCAGGCTACCTGGAGTACCTCCATGAGGCCCGACGCGGGATCGAGTTGTGCGCCTGGGCGTGTCGGGATTGGTCTGCGCCCTATGATGGAGAAGACCCCTCCCCCCACAGTGCCCCTTGTCCCCCGCCACCGCCCGCTGAGCCTGTACCTCCACCCAGCCAGCAGAGGGCAGCAGCGGCCCGTCTAGACTGGGGTGCGTCAGATAGGGACAGTGGAGAGTGGGACATCACCATCAGTAAGAACTGCATCAGTCTCACCCCCCGCAGCAAGAAGCGTACCCTGCAGAGGGAGGAGCTCCCCCTGGACGCACCCCCCATGCCCGTCCTCCCTCCTCCGCCCCCAGTGGCCCACCAGGGGGCGTCAGAGGCCCTGTATAATGGGACAGGACAGGACGGGGGTATGGAGGTAAAGAAGGTCAGGAGGGATTTATGTTTGGGAGTCCATGCTGCCCCGCAGGGCGGATATACAGAGCCGCCTCCCCTCCAGGAGGTGTCCGCGCCCCCGGCGGCGTCCTCGGACTCCCGAGACACGGGCCCCCCGGATCTGGCCGCGGGGCGTGGGCTGGAGTCGGTGGAGAGCCTGATCGAGGAGCTCCTGGAGCGCGTGCCGGCGGGGGACGGCCGGGGCATCAGCATCGAGGCCTTCAACCAGGAGCTGCGAGAGCTGGAGGACAGGGTGCAGGACGGCAGGGTGCAGGACGGCAGGGTGCAGGACGGCAGGGTGCAGGACGGCAGGGTGCAGGACGGCAGGGTGCAGGACGGCAGGGTGGACGCCCCCGCCGCCCGTGTCCGTACCCCCTCCCCCACCGAGTCAGAGCTCTCCGTGACCGAGCCCAGACCCGAGGGCACGGGTGCAGGGGGGTTCGGCTCCCCCCGCCTGACGGGGCAGCCCCCCTCCCAGCCCTACACAGGTGAGTCTACACACAGTGCCTGTCCTGCGGGTAGCGGTGCCCTGCTCCCAGTGGCTGTGTCTCACTGCGTCTCCGGCGGCCCTTCCAGGCCCCTTCGTTGCCGTGCTCTTCACCAAGCTGGAGAACATGCTGCAGAACTCCCTCTACGTCAACATCCTTCTGACGGGCATCGTGGCTCAGCTGGCCAGCTACCCTCAGCCCTTGCTCCGCTCTTTCCTCCTCAACACTAACATGGTCTTCCAGCCCAGCGTCAAGTCCCTCATCCAGGTACACCCACCCGCCGCCCCCCCGTGGCCCATCACCCCCAGTTTGGTCAGTCACCACTTTACTGGCCCATCCCTACCGTCTGATCCCAGGTCCTGGGTTCTGTGAAGAACCGCATCGAGTCCTTCGCGGCGGCCCAGGAGGACTTCCCCGGCATGCTGAGGAAGGCCCGGCGCTACCTGGCCGCCCGCGGGAAGCTGGACTGGAGCGACTCACCCATCAGCGTCCCCAGCCTGCGCCGCTCCGACTCACTAGGCGAGTGGCAGCGGCTCCCTCTGCTGTTCATTTTGCAAATTACCGACATGACCGAATCCTGGAGTTTTTAAGATGAGGGCCCATGATTCATATAGAGGGACTGGCCTTTTCATTAGCCAATGACCTGTTTAGATTCGGTGAGTGACAGGACAGTGGGCGCTCTGGGGGACCAGTCAGCTTTCATCGGCCGCCAGTGCCCTTGTGGTCCCGCCCCTTTACAGGTCTGGAAAAAATAGAGACCTCAGCAAAATGTTTTGGTTTCACTCATTTCTCAATTTGTGAGGGTGCATCTGTGAATAATATTTTTTTGCAAACTGCAGCCTGGTTCTTCTCTTTCTCATTAATGAAGGGCTTCATCCTCGCTTTATGGGACTTCAGTCCTGCTTCTAGGAGCCTGATATGATCTGTCCTAGCAGTGCACTTCACACCTGCACTTAATGTTCCCCATTCCTTTGGAAGGTCACTTGATGTCAACATCTGATTCATGAGAAACTGTAGGATAAGTTGACTGTCATCTCTGGCATTAGAATGTCGCTTCTGCCCTTTTCCTGGCTGGTTTCTGGTTGTTCCCAGTATCTCCTGGTTCATCTTATTCTTGTCTACTCCTGTCTTAGACATTTTGAACCTGGAAGCAACCTGCTGCTCAGCGTAGCTTCTGCCAGCAGAACCACAATGAATCCAGGATTTAAAAATACAGATTTTGAAAAAATATAAAGTGTAATTGTTTCTTTAGCTGTATTTGCCTCTGGGTATAGCCCATTCTCTTGGCTAGTTAAAGCCTGATGGATTTTTAGAATGAGAAAGTGCCGTGTTGACTTTCTGAGAAAACAAGTGGGACACCATGAGGTGTTTCCTGGGGGCCTGTATCACAGGATTTCTTGCTTAGCCGGATAACTTGTCGGCTTTAAGGTAGTCTGGGCTAAATGTAAATGAACAAAGATATAGTCTATTTAAGCCGGGGTGCCTTAAATCTGACAGGTTTTCTGGCTATGGGAGAAATCTGACTTTGTGATAGAGGCCCCTGTTCTCATTTCCTGCGTTTGCATTGCAGTGAAGAGCCGCAAGCCGTCGCTGGGAGACCTCATCCTTCGGCACACCAACAGCCCAACGCGCGCGAGGCAGGCCGCCCAGCTGGCACTGGCCCACGTGCGCGACGGCGGCCAGTCACTGCACAGCGCCCTCTTCAGGGGCAGCGCTGGCCACGGCTCGGGCATCGAGAAGCAAGCGGAGGCGCTGCGCGTTAAAAACGCCGTCTACTGCGCCGTCATCTTCCCAGAGTTCCTCAAGGAGTTGGCCGCCCTGGCGCAGGAACATGCGGTCGCCATGCCTTTTCCCCGCAGCCAGGGAGCAGAAGAGTAATATGCTGCCATTGCTATATCTGAACAGATGGGGCAGTGTGGAGCTCAGAGGGAGGTTGCAGTGATAACTACACGCTGTCTTTTATAAAACGCTCTTTTCTAGAAAGCTGCGTTCTTCTTGTACAACTTTAGAAAATTGCATATAGTGTAAATACTATTTATGTGTGTAGGCAGTACACACTCAAGCTTGGAACACAGAGCTAGGGGTGCCCTGTATATTCACACACCATTGTCACAGTAGGCTAATAGCTTAGTGAGATTCAGCTACAGACCTACCCAAGGTTGTGCTCTGTATTAGCTTAGATGTGTCTGCTCACAATCACGGGGCTTGTGGGAAATGTAGTTCTCAGGATGGAGATGGGGTGGGTGCTTGGCGGCTCAGGTTTGAGGAAATCCACCCTCTTTTTAAGAACTGGAAAGGAAGACCAGCCTGACGAGCCCTGTGGCTGATCACATGACTGACCCCTTGGGAAGTGGTCGACGTGTATCTGCAGTGCATTCGGCTTTCCACATAACCCCTGCTTCACGCTGCCTATCTGGGCATCTGAACTGGAAAACACGTTTCACGACGTCCGGTTTTTAATGCGTTTTTAGGTCTCATTTGCTTTTCTTTTATACATTTTTAGTGAACTTTTAATACATATCAGCACCTGGGAGGGAGGGAGGGATAGATGGATGGATGGACTGGGTCTGGGTTGTCCTCATTTGGTGCGACTGCTCGGAGCTGTCTAGCCCAGCACGCAGCCGGTGTCGCTCTTAAACACATGTGACCTTTGCCGGGCCTTGCTGCCCTTCAGATCCCTGCGGGCGTGAGGTTTCACTGTCCTGTCTGTCTTTGTCTGTTAGGTGCGCGCAAGATCAGTACTCCTGGATGCCGTGTACTGGGGTTGTGAGTTTCTGCTGAGGGATTCAGACTCTCCTATTTCGGTTTAAGGCCCATATCCCTGTCTGCTGACCTTTCTGTCTTCTGAATCCATTTCGAGTGTCCTGATTGCTTTGGAGCACAAGTCACTGTTGAAGTAATTTCAGGTACTAAATCAATGTACTCATAAATTTGTTTAAGCTAGTAAGGAATTTCTTTCACCACACTGTTTCTGCATGGCCCTAGATAGACACCCACCATGCCCTGGTCCACAAAAGCATTGTGGGTATGTTCACTGCTCCTCTGTTTCTGCAAGCTTTGCTCTTTCTCCCTAAGTTTGCACACCTACAGTGTTGCCCTGCTTATCGTTGAATATTTGCACTAATTTCTCACGAGGCTGCACTACACTGTTAGGGTGTTGTTTTGTTGCTGTTTTGCGCCACCCCCATTCCTGCCCCCCTCCAAAGTACATATTTGTTAGCCATAGCATGGCAGTTTAATGGGTGTTAAGCACAAGTTTCTGCATGTCACTCCACTGACCGTACATGTCATGTGACTCATCGCATATTATTTGTGTATTCTGTAGATAGACGCTCGAGACTTTTTTTTCTCTCCATTGTTTAGTGTTAGTGACAGTTTCACTTTTGCTAAGCAGTATTTTAAGATGACTTGAAAATCCCTGAAATTACGTCAATTTGTTTCAATTGGCTGAGACTGGGTGTGGCCAGCCAATCAGAAGAGCAAGATTTTGGGAGGCGGTGGAGAGAGCAAATCCATCCAAATCTATCCCAGATCAGACAGATTACTGTGCCATTCAGAAGTGTTAATCATTAATCCACTTCACAAATGACTGCTTTTCTAGTATTTGATTCAGTCAGTTTTTTAAAAAAATATATATTTTTAGTATTTTTAAGCATGTGATTGATGTTCAGAACTCTAAGGGGTGTGAGGCAATAGGCACAGGAAGATTTCAGTGGGTCATGCTTCAGTGAGGAGGCCAGCTGCACTTGTGATGGGAAGCTTGGAGTAGGAAGTGCAGCAGTTTGCCATGTTTAGCAAACCGCAGCAGACTCGTGAGGACTGGGGCGGCCCAGCCTACAACAGGCTCATGGGGACTGAGGCCATCCGACCCACAGCAGACTCCCGAGGACTGAGGCAGCCCGGCCTGTAGTGGGCTTGTGAGGACTGAGGCAGCCCGGCCTGTAGTGGGCTTGTGAGGACTGAGGCAGCCCGGCCTGTACTGGGCTCGTGAGGACTGAGGCAGCCTGGCCCAAAGCGGGCTCATGAGGACTGAGGCAGCCCGGCCTGTAGTGGGATTGTGAGGACTCAGGCGGCCCGGCCTGTAGTGGGATTGTGAGGACTGAGGCGGCCCGGCCTGTACTGGGCTCGTGAGGACTGAGGCAGCCTGGCCCGCAGCAGGCTCATGAGGACTGGAGCAGCCCGCAGTGGATTCGTGAGGACTGAGGCAGCCCAGCCTGCAGCGGGCTCATGAGGACTGAGGCAGCCTGGCCCATAGCAGGCTCATGTCAGGGCACATGCGGTTTCATTTCACTTGTATAATATGAATATATGTATAATTATCTGGGTTCTTTAGTGTAAGATATCTATGGAGTGATGTCCACTTAGTAGAAAAGTGGCTGTGAATATTTAGGGTGAAGCAGCCTTGTTTTGAGTAGGCTAGACTTATGAGACTCTGTGACCAGACCGTGACTGCAGAGTAGGACTGGATGTATGAGACTCAGTACTGACCAGATCCTGACCACACACTGGGACTGGATGTACGAGACTGTGTACTGACTCGTTTGTGACCGCAAGTTGGTCCCTGCTGCTTTAAGATTTGGTTGAGTGTTCATGATGTAAGCAGGAGCTGGAAAATCAGACGTCAGGTCTGCTGTTTGAGGTTCTCCTGCGGCCAGCTGCTCCTGAATGTGTGTGTGAGGCTGTGGGATTGCGTGGCTTCGTGTTGTTATGTTTTTTTTTTTCCTGTTGTGTCATTTTCCTTTATTTCAAGTAGAGGTGAGTCGTTCATTGGGCTCCCCTGAAATCTATGCAACGGTTAGTTTTGTTTCTCCACCTGTGCTGAAGTGTGGGACTGTCATGGATCCTGTACCTACGGCTTAAATAAGCAGTTCCGAGAGCGGTCCGGAGGGAGCTGAACTGAAGGGACTGAATCAAACACGGGGCAAATGAGGAATGTTGTCGGAAATATTTTTATATATTTAAAAAAAAAAAACAGGACAAAAACTTGTGGGAAAGCTGTAATAAAAAGGGAATGTTTTTATTAATTTATAAATGTCTGACTTAGCAATTTGCCTGCTGTCCGGGTGTCCTTGCTGCTGGTCTTTCTCCCCATGTGGAATCACACCTGCGTCACCTGAAGGTCACATACTCATTCCACTCTCTCTCTGTCTCTCTCTCTCTCTCTCTCTCTCTTTCCTTGCAGCTATGATAAGCTTAAGATTTCTGCCTTGTTATTTCCCATTGGTGGTTTGAAATGGGCTGTGTATAGGCATGCAAATGGGTGGGGCCATTTTTTTCTTGAGGCCTCCTGTAATACCAGAAGTCATTCAGTAGGGGGTGTTTCTGTCATGCTTTGCTTGACAAGCCCACGTACGACGAAATGAGTTCAAAGGATGTGTATTCGGGAATCTGTGTATGAAACTGGTTCATCGAAGGTGCCAAGGATTCTGGGAACTTGTGAGGGAAGAGGCGAGAACTGAGGTTCAACTCGGAGTAGCTGTCCCTATACCTGTGAGAGTGACCTGTTTTCACGTGTGTGAGTGGGAGGAAGATGTTCTCCGTGAGCCCAGAGGTTCTGTTTAAAGCTGTGGGTGGTAAAAAAAAACTGGGATTCAGTCACCATGACAACCTGGTCGTGTCCAAGTGAAAGACACGCCGTTCTCCTCCAGTTCGCACGTTCAAGTTATTTAAGACAAACTGCATGGAAATGCAGTTTCAAGCTGACAGCCGTCGATAAATAAGTGAGCCTGTCATTCATTCAGATTCTTTTTAATGGTAGTGAGGGTGCAGCCAGGACAAGAGCGACAAAGTGCTCCTGCGTGTTCAGTCTCTCACATTAAGGTATGAGTCGCACTTAGGAGCTGAAGTGGGAGGAGCTTAACGCAGAAGAAGCTCCCTATTAGTCACGGTGGTGGGCGGAGCTGGGCTTGCAGCTCCGGGGTGTAAGTTGGTGTCACCTGCTCCCGTGTCCCCCTTGTCTGCTTCTCACGGTGTGGTATGTATAAATGCTCACAAGGGCCATGGTTTCCAGAATCCCACCCTGCAGAGTGCTGGTGAGGGATCCAGAAGTGCCACAATGCCCATCTAACACAACAGGTCCTGTACCAGATATAGGTGATGATGTCATGTACAGGAAGGACATGATGGAGTGTGGAGAGCAGAATGATGAATGACATTCTGTGACTTCCGTCTTACTGGAAGCATGTCCCTAGACGATCTTACCATCCGCTCTCTCCATAACTGGTGGGATGCAGCGCCCAGACTAAGGCTGCAGCCAGCTCTCTGTCTACATTGTGTGATTTCTGCACAGAGCAGTGTTTCCCAAACTGGTCCTCAGGGACTGCCGGGCAGTCTGCAGGGCAGTCTGCATTCTTGTTTCCTCCCAGCCTCCAGCACGCCTGAAACAAACAATCAAAATCCCCAAATACCTGATACAGGTGTGTTGGGAACTGGGAGGGAACAAAAACATGGACTGTCTGAGGGTCCTTGAGGACTGGGCTGAGAAAAACTAGCATAGAGGAATGTACAGACAGTATATACAGACAGTGGAAATTAATATGCATTGTGTGAAATAGTTTAAGCTGATTCTTTGCTCCGTCTTCCTAGAGCTCCCTCTTCATTATCCCTGGCTGGCATGCTGTGGAGTAAGCAGCAACGCGGCAAATTGCCCAATACCTCTGTGCAACAGTCATACTCACAATAATTGATCTCCTGCACTCATTTGTTTAGTGAATACAGTGCCTGATCTGTCTGTAAAATCCAATATTCGTACAACACGCCTGTCTGTCTCGCCTGCCAACACTGATGTTGGGCGTCTACGCGCCACCCTCTAACTTGTGAATGAGTTGGCTTGCTGGCGTCATAGCAACCGCAGCAATGTTAACTAGACATGGGGGGGCGGGAAGGGTGACAGAAGGGGAATAGCCTGGAACACGGTACAGCTGTCTGAGCACAGGTAAGAGCATTCTCTTATGAGGCACGTACCTGTAGATACCTGTACATACAGCGCTCACAGGAAGTCTTAGGAATCTCGCTAAATTCAGTAGATTTATTGCAGATCTATTGGTTTCATAAGAAAAATCATTACTTCAGTTGTTTACAAAAATATATATCACATTAGAAACAACTGGAGGTTTCAGACTAGAACAATCATTTCAAGTAGTAATTGAAACCCAAATTATAGTTCTATAAGAGCTGTTTGAGTTGCAAAGTTCCTTCACAAGCATCATTGGGTGCTTTTAAATTAGTAACACTTCTGCAATAACAGCAAATATTTGTGTTTACTATCCATTTGGGAGCCCATGACTGCAGGATCTAATAGCAAAATGCAAGAACAGAACTGAATGAATCATTCAACAAAGTTGACGCTTATGAAAATGTCTATGAAAGATATGTGCTAATACATTAAACATTGCATGTCATTGGACTTTTTGTTATGAAACCAGTACATTTGCAACATCATTACAGAATTAAGCAAGACTCTGTGATCACTGTACCTGCACATACCTTTAGATACCTGTAGACTGTGACTCAATGTCCATATGGATAGATTGCAGGGAATATGAATTTAACCATAGGTTTCCTGGGAAAGAGACGGACCAGCTGGATTTGGTAGAAATCTATGATAAATTTTATGTCAGACTTTATGCTGGCCAGCTGCGTAAACTAGATCTCGTTCTAAGAATCTGAAGATATATTCAGCAGAAATCGGTCGAGCCAAATTCCCTGACTGCTGCCTGCAGTCACACGAGACCTCACAATGCATTATAAACAAGCCCCCTCATGCAAAATGCAATACGTAATATGAGAGTGTGGATGTGTTACGTGATCTGGATGGGCATGCCACTTTTTAAACTGTTGAGTGCTTGGCTCAGTTGGTTTATGTTTATTTAATTGGTGGGTCCAAATGATTATTGTGTCCCCAACTAGCTACTGAGCTGCCTTATCAGCTGCTCGTGCCTGACATCCCAGAGCAGACGAGCCGTAACCCGAGGCTCGTCTGCTCGAGCTTCAGTCTGGTCCACTAAACCGAAGAATTTGTTTTATGACTAGGGGCCTCTTGTGAGCCAAGCAGGGAGTTCAGGTGCTGAGTTGAGGCTTCGGTTCAGCATTTTTGGCACCAGCACCGTCTGTCTCTTTCCCAAACTCATAGGTTCACTCTTCCTGCAGTCGATAAATAAGTTCCCAGAGAGAAGGTTTTAGTACTTTAGACAGAAGATCAAGAAGGCATCAGCTGCAATGAAACGGATTCGAAGTCTGTCTCAAACTGGCTAACAGGATATCAGATTATACTCACTAATGCATCTTCATTTGGAGCAGGGGAGTTTCTAGCTATTGAAAAGATCGGGGGCTAAGTCAGATTTACCTGGGCATTTATTATCTTTTTTTTTTAAAGGAAGACTGGCATTGGGGCTAAAACACTCAGGGCTATAGCCCCAAGTTATCGGACCTAATGACGCCCATGATTGGGAGTTTTGTCCTCCTGAATTTTAAATAGGAAGCTCACTTTGTCCTCCGTGACCGTTCATAGGGAAGGATGAAGACACACCCTGGACAGTCTGCACCGGGACACCCCCATGGTGAACCCCTCTCTCCCCTGCCCGGCTGGGCCGCCCTGGAGAGAGCCGAGTGGGAACTCAGGCATCTGCGTGAGCACCAGGTCAGCCAAGTGAAGATTCTGGCCCAGAGTCTAGAGAGGGCCGTCCTGGGGGCACGTAGGGAGGAGCAGCGCCTGGTGGAGCGAGTGGAGCAGGACGGCCGGGACATCTGGTGCCGCCTGGAGTACCTGCAAAGAGAGAATTCCACGATGGTCCATAAGGCCCAGATGCTGATCGACCGGAAGCTCCAGCAGCTCGTCCTGCTACGCCAGCAGATACAGAGGAACCCCAAGCAAGACCAGTTGTTACAGAGAGCACTGCAGCTTCTGCAGCCCTGGGAGACCAGCCTCTCCCTGAAGAGTGTTAGTCTCTGGCCCGGGTCTCAGCCTGGGCATGTCACCTTTGGAGAGGTCCAGGTTCGAGATCTGAGCATTAGCTTTGCAGTGGAGACCTGCGAGATGCAGGGACAGCAGGTAACACCCAACGCTGAGAGAAATTGTAAGGGTGAAGCTCCAGTACCTGTCAGAGCAAGTCCACAAGGTGAGCAGAAGACATTTCTATCCTCCAGGAGAGGAGAGGAGCTTCACTTCCCAAGATTATGGTCCCGGCCACTGCTCCAGGACACTACCGATGGGACTTTATCCCAGGAGGAACCTTTACCCCTGCGGTCACATACCCAGGGGAAGCGCAAGTTCCAGGCAGTCCACTCTCTTCTTGGCGGTGGGGACTCAGGAGGTGTGGACAGGAATGGAAACAAGACCCAACGTGCCAGGGAGAGCTTGAGAAATAAAGGAATCCAAGTCATGTTTACAAGCCACCACTCATCCAGCGGTCCTAAAGGGAGATGCTACTGCGCTACAGGTTCTTCTAAATACAGTCATGTGACACCTTCCTTCCCCAGGATCCCCCATCGACACTCCCTGGGAACCCAAAGTTGTGTGGACCTGAACCCCCGAGGGCTCCTTTCTCCCTGCCTGAATAACCACACATTTAAGAAGTCCAAGAGCATGGAGAAGACACCTTCCCAGGCTGGCAGATCTTCATCCAACTCACCCAGGGATTTCGAATGCTCCCTGAACCAGAGACCTCACCTTTCCAGGTCCATGGTGGATTTGTCCCCAAGGAGCCCATCCTCGTCTACAGAAGACAGACACAGGCTGTGCAGTGTTTGTCGTCACCAGTACTCTCTGGCTTCCCCAGCTCTGGAGCGGACACACAGGATCCAGATGGGTGGTACTGACTTGCTCAGAGGACCTCATGGAGTTAAAAAGGTGTACCGGCCTCTCTCGGTGTCTGCCATAGGGCGTGGTGGGCCAGCAGAGCCAGCTCAGATGGACGACAGTGGACACAGCCGTACCCCAGAGGCTGGACATCTGCTCAGGAAGATTGGGAAACAGGGTTCTGGCCGGTCTGACTTCAGTCTGCCCACTGGAGTCCACGCCACGGCCCAGGGGAAGCTGTTTGCAGTGGACTGCGGCAACGCCCGTGTGCAGCTCATGGATTCCCATGGCCTCGTCCTTCAGCAGGTGTTTCTCTCGCAGACCGAGGGCTCGTCCGGCCGTCGTCGTAACTATGTTGACGTGGCTGTGAGCGCCAAGGGGCTGATCGCGTTGAGCTGCGCCACCCCGAGGACCCTGCTGATATTCAGTCGACATGGACGCCACCTCCAGACCTTTGGAGGAACCGGTTTGGGGGTTAAAGGTGAGCTGGAGGCCCCTAGGGGAGTGACGGTGTCTCGCCTAGACCAGTTCCTCGTGGCTGACATCCGGCGCGGCTCACTGATCGTCCTGACGCTCAAGCACACGACGGGCACGGTCCTGGAGAGCACAGAGATCCGGGGTTTCCACCGGCCCTGCATGGTGTCTGCTAACCTGACCACTGGGTTGGTGGCCGTCTCAGAGAGGGGGTGTCGGGAGAGCCCGGGGCCATGCGTCAAGGTGTTGGGGCCCGGCTGGGTTGTCATCCGGACAGTAGGGGTGTGCAGCTACATGGGAGCCGTCCTCTCTTACCCCTGGGGAGTCTGCATCGACGACGACGGAAATGTGCTGGTGGCAGACTGGGGCAAGCAGCACCGGGTGGTGATGTACTCTGCCCAGGGTGTGAGCCAGGTCCTGGTGAGTCAGGGCCTGAAGAGTCCATGGGGCTTGGCCTTGCTGCCAGAGCGCCACCTAGTGGTGTCAGATAGCATGCATCACTGCATCAAGGTGTTCCAGTACAAATGAGGATGGTGATGTTTGGAGACAGAGCCATGCTGGAAATGGCAGCTGGGATGAGCAGATCTGACATGGATCACGCTGCTCTTCATCGCTCCAATTCCAGGGATTTTCCCACAAAGATTTTCTGCCGTGCTGTGTGCGGTGAAACTGACAAGACAGTGATTGCTGAGAAAATGTGGTGTTTATCTTTAAAAACTTCATATACTTTCATTTTATTTGGGCGTTTTATTTAGTTAATGTGTGGATTAAGACCACTAATGTGTGCAACATCTCTAGTGTGCTCTATATTAATGTAAGATAGATGGGTGGTTTTCCTCAGTTATTCACTGGTGCTGTGTGTCGTGTAGACGGTGCTGTCTTTGCCTGTAAATCAGCCAATGAAAAAAAGTGCAGAAAGTGTGGTAGCAAATATAACTGAAAAGATAACTAACATTGAAACAAGGCTAATACACAACATGGCCACTAGATGTCCTAGTAGAGAACAAATCGTTTCACTTTCCTGGGACCAAAGAAAATATCTTTTCTCATTGGGGAGCTTCATTACTATTCCCAAATGTATCCTATATACTGAAGAAAGCCCACCGTCATCAGCACACACACGCAGAAAGCAATTTTTCGAGTTTTGACAGTTTCCAGTCATTTATTTCAAGAATAAAAAAATCACCATGTTTTTTATTACAAACCTCAGTATTGTTAACAAAATTTAATTACATGTTCTGCACGTCTTTGCCGGCCTGGACACGTTCCTCCTGTTAAAGGGCATCTGGCAGGACTTTGTGATGTCTGAGTTCAGGGCCCGGCCTGACATTAGCTAACAATCGTTGAGAATAAAGATCATGAGGAAAACAGTGTGTACATGCAGAATCCGAGCCATTTTGTCAGTATCACTGTGCAATACTGCTTTGACTGCTGCACCGGTTACAGCACCTCCCCCTACCTGTGGCAGATTGGCAGTGATCTGTTTTTGACAGTCAAAACATGTCTTAAAGGAGTTTGGGTGGGGGTGTGTAAATTGACAACCTCTTGTCGGTTTGTAGAAACTGGTTCCACTGGTCTCCAGATCCACCTCCTGCAGGTCGGTCTAACAGGGTAGACTTCATTTCAGAGGAACCCGCTTCTTCAGCCATACAGCACTGCTGTGGCTTTAGAGGGATCCCAGCAGGGTCTCAGCCCTGTCGTGTCTCCGCTTGTATCCAAGTCTGTTTCTGTCACGGAAGCCTTGTGTGTTGTGTACTACCTCCTGTTTGTGTGCGATGTCTGTCTCCCTTCCCAGCTCATCCCACAGAAGAAAAAAGGCTCACATTTGTTACTGGTGTCTGATAGCAGGGCAATCGAGAAATACCGTCGTTACTTATCGGGCTGCAAAACTCATCAGCCCCTGGTCTGATTAGGGATTAAGCGGTTTCTGGCGACTCGTGCGCTGTCAGTCTGGTTGAGATCTTCTCACTTTGCTAGAAGTTAGCCTCCCCGACAGCTTTGGGTAGCAGCCAGGAGCCCAGGACCGTCTGTGATCCAAGTCACAGCATGTACACAGATCTTTGGGCTCATGAGTGTCTGCGTCTGCAGTGTAACTGAGTCTCTGTGCCTTGGCTCTGCAGGGTGTCGCTCAGAGCTTCTGCTAACCAGGCCTGTGTGTCTCAGTGTTTAAGACGCCCCCCCGTTCCCAAGTCTGCAGGCATGTAGGCGGCTCCACGTCGCCTCCACAGGTACAACCTGCTGGGCGCATCTTCAGACATTCGCGGATATATTATGCCCTTTAGTTACTGCATCAGATGTTTCCGATTAGTTAAGTAAGAACAACAGTCATAATCGCTCCAGATGCTCTATGGTCAGCATCCCAGCGTTCTGGATATTTTTTTAAGGGCACAGACTCACAATTCAGGAAGAGAATTAGTGAGACTTATTTTCAGGTTTGCTGTCTGCAGATTCTGCACTGACTGTGGTTCAGAAAATGTCAACAGACGGTGACCTTAAAGTTTTTGGTCATAAAGTAAAATCAACAGTTTCCTGCAGAGATCAATTCTATACAAATGGCTTAAAACTTGTGGGAAGTACATTTCTGCTTTGACTGATGATAGCAAATGAGTAATCAAAACAAGGCCTGAAGCAGGCTGTCTTCGTGTGCACACTTGGCCAGAGCAAGACCAGCCTCGTCTTGAAGATCGCTGTTTTTGGACCAGGCCAGGACAAGAGAATACGGTGATGGTGGTTGTTGTCTCAAAAAGTGCAGACTCTCACGCTCGCTCTGTCGCAAAATCCATCAGAGTGGGACCTGTCGCTGGGTCCCTCCCTTATGAGAATGTAAACGGGAAAGTACAGATGTGGCATCAGTCCTTTTTGGGTTCAACGATGGAACCAGGAAAAATGTAGACAAAAAAAAATGTCCTTTACGCCTTTTGTGCCGTGACTGAGAACGTCCCACCTGCAACAGAAAGAAGGCTGTTGGTAACAATGTGCAGGTTTACCTGGGCTGAAGTCCAGGGGCATTCACTAATAAGGAGCTTCAACTGACTTGTCTAATAACATTTTTGACCCACTACACTTCTCTCCCAGTGCACTTTTTTTGCCCTCCATTGCCCCCCCACAATTATAACTACCATCATATAAGAAAGTAGGGGGTCTCTGCTAACGATCGATGGTCAGAAGGCTCGGCATGGTGTCATCAGTAATGAGCTCTTACCTCACAGGGACGTCTCTCGTTTGTAGAGCAGGGCGCTGGTGGGCCCTTCGAACTGCAGCTTGATGGCCTGCTTGAGGTTGAGCTGGGGGTCCGTGCTCGTGAAGCTGGGCAGGGACTCGGGGGCTAAGGCACTGGAGCAAGAGGTCACCGGGAAGTTGAAGACCGGCGACAGAGAGATCTTCCCCGGTCGCCACTCCATCTCCCGCTGGCTGTGATTCTCCAGCTGGATGGGGTACCCGTTCGGTGGGCTATCCGTTGTTTTGGGAGGCCGGGTGGGGCAGTCCTGTCCGGGCATCACGCCCAGGGAGGCCATGAGAGAGCTCCACCTCCCTCCTTTAAACACACTGGCACTCTTGTTCTTCTCGACCTCTTGGCCGGGTTTGGAGTATTGGTCCCAGACTCCCGCGGAGCTCTTTGCTGGCCTGCTGGGTTCGGCCAGCCAGCTGTGGTCGGTGGGCTGGGGGGCGACGTGGGGCAGGGGCTGGACGGATATGCGAGCCCGGCTACGCGGCAGAGAGTGCTGCTGGATCTGCTGTGTGAAGCTGAGGTTGTCGGCCGGTGCCGTCTGCACCGTGGCCAGGGAGTGGCAGGTGGACCACGAAGCCTGGGAGCTTTGCATGGAGTGGAACTTCTCCGAGGTGGAGCTTGGGGAGAGCGAGCTTGACGATGGGGAGGGGGCAGATGCTAGAGGGGGCCTGCAGCTGCCCTCGACTGCCCCAGCAAAGCCAGTGCAGGGGGGGCTGCTGGCTACTGAGCTGTGGGAGTTGGGTAACGATGGCAAAGCACCTAGATAAGGCTTGGCGCCAGCTCTCTCCAGGCTCTTGACGATACTCAAGTGGCCCCTCTTCCCAGCCACCTTCACGGGGCTGCGGCCGTAGAGATCCACGTGCTCTGGGTTCGCCCCTTTCTCCAGCAGTACTGACACCACCGAGGCATGCCCCTCCTGCGCCGCGATGCACAGAGCTGTCGCCCCCTGCTGGCGGCACGCTAAGTCAACAAGGGCGCCCTTGGATTCCAATAGCAAACGAGCTGCTGCACAGTACCCCCTCCAGGCCACGGAGTGCAATGGCGTGCGACCCTCCCCGTCAGGTGCGTTGGGGTCTGCGCCGTGCTGCAGGAGCAGGTTCATGCCCTCCAGGTCGCCGCGCCAGCTGGCCACATGCAGCGCGGTGCGGCCCTCAGCGTCACGTGACTCCAGTGGCGCGCCCCCCTTCTCCACCAGCAGGGTGGCGATGTCGAGACGTCCCTCCAGCATCAAAAGATAGAGCAGGGGCTTCCCCTCCGCGTCTCGCACGTCTGTGTCCGTGCCGCGCCTCATGAGCAGCTCCACCACGTCGGCGTGACCCTCCAGGGCGGCGGCACTGAGCGCCGAGTGGCCGTCGTAGCCGCGATGGTCGATGGGCGAGCGGCGGTCTAACAGGAGCCGGACCGTGCTGCAGTGGCCCTCCTGAGCAGCCAAGATCAGTGGCGTGCGGCCCTCGTTGTCCAGCTCACCGACCCGTGCCATGCTCCCGTAGTCAGTGAGGACAGCACAAGCCCCCTTGTGGCCGCTACATGCAGCGGCGTGCAGCGGAGTCCAGCCTAGGTCATCCTTGTGGTTCTCATCCAGGCCGCGGTCCAGCAGGGCCCGCACCACATCGGTGCTGCCGTGGGTGGCGGCCAAGCAGAGTGCTGTGCGGCCCTCCCCGTCGATGGCGTCCACGGGTGCGCCCCAGAACAGCACAGTGTTCACTACGGCCATGTGGCCCATGTAGGCGGCAGCCAGCAGGGGCGTCACTGAGCCCGAAGCGTCGTCTATGTCGGCGCCGGCCTCCAGCAGCAGCTCTACGGCCTCGCCGTGGCCCTCGTAGGCAGCGAGTAGCAGTGGCGTCATTCCGTCCCCGTCTCTGTGCCCCGGGTCCGCCCCCCGTTCTAACAGCAGACTCATCACCTCGCTGGAGTTGCCCCCCAGGCACATGGCAGCTAGCGACAGCGCCGTACGCCCATCTCCGTCTTCCCGGTCCACCTCTGCTCCGGCATTCAGCAGGATCTCTAGAGCCTCCCGGTGGCCCATGTACGCGGCGGCCATGACAGCAGTGCGCCCCTCCCTGTCAGGCTGGTCGACCCGCGCGCCTTTGTCCAGCAGAGTGAGGAGGACCTCATCGTGGCCCCCCCACGCCGCGGCCCGTAGGGCGGTCCGGCCCTCAGAGTCGCACCCATCCACCGCCGCCCCGGCCTCCAGCAGGAGGCGCACCGCCTCCACATGCCCTGCCCAGGCCACTGCGCGCAGAGCCGTCCAGCCCTCGGCGTCTGCGTGGTTTATCAACCGGAGCCCCGTCTCCCCGTGTCGGCCGGCCCAACCTAGCAGAACCCGCAGGGCCCCCACGTGGCTGTGCCGGGCTGCCGCTATGAGCGCAGTCTGGCCCTGGGCGTCCTGCACCTCCGGGGCTGCCCCGTGTGCCAGCAGCAGCTCCACCACTCCAGCTGATCCCGCGCATGCCGCGTCCATCAGCAGGGGGCGCCCATCTGAGTCCGTCTGGTTCGCGCTCGTTCCGCCATCCAGAAGTGCACGTGTTGATTTCTCCGACTCCAGGGCCCGCCGCAGGGTCCCGGTTCCGGAAAGGTGCCCATCCGGCAGGCAGGAGCGAGGGAAGACACCAGCCATCACCAGCAACCGCAGAACCTCTGGCTGAAGCAGGACAGGAGGCCGGGGTGAACACGGAGACCCAGGGTCAGGGCCGACGGCGCCGGTCCATAGCATCCACAGCGCCAGCAGGGCCGGGTGGTCCGAGTGCAAGCCGGAGTGGACCAAGTGGAGAGCCAGGAGGCAGGTTTCCTCTGGGGTCAGCTGGGCCCTGCGTAGTGTGAGAGCCATGCTCAACATGGTGTGTCCATCAGCCACGCTACACAGGAATTTCTGGGTGCAGTACTTCACGTCGGTCAGCCACTCCGCAAAGCTGCTATGGAACAGGACCTTGGTCTGTCCCGGCCCATCAGCCAAAAGCACAGACAGTGCCTCCATCTGGTTCTGGAAGTGCGCACGGCTCAAGGTGGTGTCCCGGGTCCAAACTGCCATATACAACTGATCCGAGGTGAGGGGTCGCGGGGTGGCCAGCAGGACGCTGAGGAGGGGCTGCACCCGTGAGAAAAGCCTCTTGGGAAAGAGACGCTGGCATAGCCACAGGTAGAGGCCGCTCAGCGTGCCGGGGATGTCGCGGATCTGCCGTATGGTCAGCAGCCCCTCGCTCACGCCGTCCAGCACGCGCTCCAGGAACAGGAAGCAGCCGCCACTCTTGATGTGCAACAAGTTCAGCATGTCGGCCGTCTCGGGCGTCAGATGCTTCCGCAGCGCCCCCTCTTGGGCCAGACGACGGAGGATGTACTGCTGCACGTCACGCAGAGGTAACGCCTTCCGCATGTCGTCCAGGACGAGCTTACGGAACCCTGGGGGGGGAGTGGAGAGGACACATGGAGTTCAGAGAGGAGACAGGAAGTGTGTGGGGGGGAGATGTCAGAGAGGAAGTGAACTCATGTAAGTAAAGGGACTATTTTTATAGCAGCAAATAGACTGAAATGACAGGGAATAAATCCAAACCATGAAAGCAGGTATCACCGAAAATGTTATACAAAAAGCATGAACATAAAAACGGCTGATCACACAAAGCCTGAGTAATTCCATTAGCTGTCTGTTTGTCCCTTTAACTACACAGGATTTTCCTCCTGATTACAGAACGGTTCTGTTAGAAATAAATAAGAGTCGTGCGTCAGAATTCCCTGCTCCGTGGTCTCCTGGATGCCCCCCAGCTCGCGCTAATAACCATGTGGGATGTTTGTTTTTGACCAAGCAGACACATTTCGCAGGACGTGGGCCGAAAGCATTAACAACATTCGCAGCTGCACGGTGTTGACAGGTAACATCGCATTTAGGGACTGGATATTTGTTTAATGATGTACTCATAGCTGCCTAACAGTCTGTTTAGTAAATATCTATTCATAATACTGTGTTCTGTTTACACAGTAAATATTTTTAATAGCCCAAACAGTAATATGGCACAAAACTGAAAAATGGCACTTGTGCCTTTTAACAACTAAACTCAAATACAGTTTCGTTGTTGTGGATACTCCTGTCCTGAAAAAGGTTTTCACTGGTCCCACACCTCTTAGCACATCAGGGGAGGGGAACGAGTAACACAGTTCCAGCACAGCTTCAAATACCTGGGAACATCTTGCTAACAGCCTTATCCTGGCGCCGTGCAGAGCAGACGAGGAGCAGCCAACTGGGGAACAGCTGCAGGTGCTTGGAGAGGAGCTCCGCGATGGAGTCACTGCCTCCGGCTGCATCTGAGTCCAGGGCATCGACCAGCAGGAAGAGGTTCTGTGGTGGTGCTGGGATTTCCATCAGAGGCTGCAGGACTGTCCTGGAGATGGGGAGATCACACAATGGCATGACTTGGGTTTTCAGCTTCTGTTTGAGCTGGAGATAGTCAGAGCTAACAGAAAAATAAATACAGGACCTTTTGCTAACTCTGATGCTATTCTACTCATAGCCTGCTCATAACCTACTCATAGGTCGATGGATTCTAACTGTGAAACATCCTAATGCTATTTTATTCATTTCAGTTTTTACCTTGAGTAACAGTAAAGTTGGAGATTTGTCTGATGCTACCTGGTTGGAGAAGTTTGTGGTCAAGTACCTGCGATGAGCTGATTTTCCTTTTATCTGCCCCCAGACTGACCTTTTGACATTTGACCTTTGGCAGCTCCTGTTACCGCACCTCGCAGTCTTTGACCTCCTCTTACCTTTCCTCAGACAAGCCTCTGACCCCAACTGATCGCTCTTGATTTTTGCCATGGAAAGGCCTCCTCAGAGAGGCAGGTCAGACTGTGCTACAGAACCAAGGTGCAGATTCCTGCTGGATCTTGGATTTATGGGCTGGGACAGAGCAGAGGCATACACACGAACTGTGCACAGTAAATGAGCTCCATTCTGAGATAAAAGCTCTGGGGGGGGGGTTTGGACCCCCAAAGCAAATGTTATGCCATGCTAGATATTTGTGCTTTTTAGGGGGGCCATTAACAGTCAATGTTTGTGTTCAAAGTGACCATCCAATACACACACAGGGCAACGTGAAGAACTGCACCAGCAAGAATCCAAGCTAATGACTGGCCAATCAGTGCTTGGTTTTCAATTCAAGAGATACACAAGGAAAAGGACAGAATAACATATGAAGACACTTGCTAGTCACATACATGGCAAACTTAAACATCCTAGCTGGTTTTAGGCTTAATTAAATGCAGGCGGTCAGTATTTGTGCCCAATATATATGCAGTACTGAGTATGTACTCGGGCTACAGAACTGTAAATGTTCTACTTATGATCTATGTTACTGTCACATTTTGGAGGAAAATTGGAGGAGACCTTTTGAAGGCATCATCAGGGTCACGCTGACAGGCATCAGGCTCCAGAGCGGCCGCCACAGTGGGGTCCTCTAGCGCCGCCCTGTAGGCCGCGGGCAAGGCAGGGCTGTTCCGGAGCTCTTCCACCAGGCCCAGCACAAAGCTCCAAGCAGCTCGGGACCTCTCATCCTCCCGCTGGCAGAAGTGTGCCGCAAGGCATCGTGGGGCCAGACCGGCCTGGAGCCCCGCTTCTGATGTGGGCCACACCGCTTCTGTGCATAATGCCGTCTTCCCGGCTCCGGGGCTGCCGGTTACCAGCACCCCCACCGGCCGCGTCTCCAGGCTCCTCCGCAGCTTTTCCAGGGCCCACTCGCGGCACAGGAAGCGGCGGCCCTGGAGAAGGCTGATCGCGCTCATGGGGTTGGTGCTTGGGCCCAGCCGCCCATGGCACGCGGCTGCCCGGCGCCCGGCCCCTTCACACCATGTCAGGTTGGTGGGTCTCAGCGAGCGGCAGAGTATTCCAGAAAACCACGCCGGGCGTGTATGAGTCACCGAGTGGAGCCGCAGAAAGAAACAGGCACAGCTCTCTCTCAGGTGAGTTGAGAGCTGAGGAACTCAGGCCATTAAAACAACACGCACGCTCTCTGCGTCGGACTTCTGAGACGGACACACAGCCACAGTCCTGCCCTTTATCCGTCTGTTCCTTTCCCTCCACACTCCCTCGGTCTCCGTCGTCCGGCTGAACTCCTTGTTCGTCTTTTGCTTTCGGTCTGTTTGTCGGCCCCGTCGTTCACACGCCCTGCGTCTCTGTGGCCCTGAGATCCTCCTCTTCCACTCTCCTCCCTCTCTGCTCCTCCCTCTCCTGCCGCCAGCTGCCCTGAAAGCCCTTCCCTGCTTTACTTGGTGGCGTGCCCAGCTGCCGTTCATGTCAGGACATGCAGAGCGGGTCTGCAGACAAAACTGCCAGAGAGAGAGATAATGAAAGGAACGTGAGGGCAACGTAAAGTCCGAGTTCCATGAGGTCAAAGTTCAGCATTTCACACTAAGCCCCTTAGCCTTAGACAGGATTCTGTGCCAAATCTGCCTTTGCAAAGAGCTTGCAAAGACGTCTTTCAGCTGAAAAATCAAACGTTGGACTTTTAAGTGTGTTCAACGTAATAAAAGTAAAGAGAAAATATGATTCCAGAGAGAGAACAGTTATAAAAAAATCATTTAATAATTCCTGCAGTTTTTATAGTACATGGCATAGGCGTTTACGTGTTACATTTCCGGTATTGCAGAGAAATAATTTCTTAGTTCATTAAACGAAGTAATACAAGTTGTTTACTACATTTAAGACTGCATTGGTCTTGTTCCCGATATTTTTTCCAGAGCGATTGCCTCTGCATCTCAGTGTGACGTTAAGAAATAAGACACCATGGAACTGACAGGCAGCCAATCCCGGACCCATAGCACCAGTCGAACCGGACCGTCCGGTACCCCCGCTCTCCTCCCCGGAACGATCACGCTCCGCTGCTGGATCCGGGCAGGGAAAAGGGGCGCCGACCGAGCTCTGGAGCCCGGTCCCTGGGCGTATACATATACTCATGTACAGTATGGGCGACGTCCCTAAAACAAAGCCAGCGCGCCGGATGCGGGGCTTTTCCTGCCGTACCTGCGTTCAGATATCACTTTTCTTTGGTTAATCCCGGTCTTAATGTATAAATCAGCCGAGAAATACAGGATACCGTTTCCCCCCTACATTGTCATGCACAGGGAAACCAGTCTATACACCCTGTCACGTAACTTCCCAAGTTGGACCGGCTACAGGTGCGGCGGCACAAAATGGATCGACCGAGCAACGTCTCTACTGTGCTTGTTGGTATATTTTCGTTTCGTCTGTTACATTTAGTGTCCAAGGAAAAATCTGTATTCACTCACCGCATCGCGATCCCATCGGACTCCCACAGCCCGACGCCGCGATCAGCTGCAGCATAGGAAGGAGGGCAGTAAATAAGGTGAAGGGTTTATTCCTCAGGACACCTTCATCGGCCAGCAGGAGGACCGGCACGCCTGTGATCCTGCCTCGACGTCCCCGTCAAGCCCCCGTTCATATTACAATACGCTGCACTCCTCGCCGGATGCACTATCGGGGTAAAGGCTGCGTCCGGAGTTGGAGACGGTAGTAACAATAGTCCAGAAGGGGCTCTTTGGCCGGTGCTGGAGATCGCGGGGGTGGAAAGGGGGGTATCATTAGGAAATGCAGAACAGTAATACACCGCAAATGTTTTTCGTGTACATTAAAAACGAAACGCCGTGCTGCTTTCGGGTACTCGCACGGCAGCACAGCCGTATAGACCAGCCTATTCATGATCATTCAATCGTCTCATTATAAAATTACGATCACATACTGCTTAAATGGGAAGCGTAATCGCTGGGATTGTAATATTAAGGAAACAATCTGCTTCCTGTTGCTGTTTTAATAAAGGCAATGTGGGAATATGCATTCATTTCGTAACACCTGCAGCTTTTATGCTCGCGATGCCCAAAGGATTTGAAAGGAAGCTGGAAACTAACGAAACCTCAGTGTTACAGTATTTAAAAGCATAATTTGTAGAGACTACTATTTACAGATCATTCAGCATCTTCCTATGCCATAAATATACTCAGCCCACTGACGGGAGCTTGTTTGAATATCATTAACAAGGATATAGTGTTACTGCATTACTTGACTTGGCCCCTGATCTTTTCAATAGTTGGAAACCTCCCTGGATGCTGGACTGCTGATCTTCTAGATAATTCCCATCTTCTGTATATCACTTTTTAAATGAACTTATCATATTGTCCCCCCCATGATTGTTAAAGGTACACTTGTGTATTTCAGATCTATTGTTGTATCTTTGGTTTATTTGCCGTTTGACCATTAGAGTGTAAAATTGGTACGAACAACTGGTACGAATCCGGTGGCAATATGGATAAAACATGACCATCGGATTCTTTGGCTGCTGAGTCAAAGTTCTTGTCTCCTGTCTTTATCTAACTAATTAAATTGTTTTTCCACTGCAAAGAACATTAGGCTAAATCCAGACCGGAGCACTGACTATGGTGACGACGTGAATAAGCAACACGTGTTCTAGTTAAAATAATGAATTGTTATAGAGGTATCCCCCCCCCAAACTGTCTGATAAAAACAAGTAGATCATTTAAGACCCATACCGCTCGGTGTACTTCTATATACAAGGTTATTTTTGTGTCCTTGACAGTGGTGAAACAAACAAAGCTGTATTTTACGTCGCATTTACTTATTTAGCAGATGTTTTTGTCCAAAGCGACGCACGAGAGGCAGAGAGTACATCTCAAGCATACAGCTGTCAAGGATGCAACTAGGCATGGGTACAATTTTAATTGTTTTACCCAATTTTAAACATTATACTAGTTCTACGAATGCTTTGGCGTATCAATTTAACTTACCAGTAGAGGGTGCACTTTCCCACAAAATGGTGAAGGATTTGACAAGAGAGCCGCAGTAGTTTTGCTGTTGTATTGAACACATGAAGGATCATTTCGCGTTCGGCAGAAACCTATTGTAAAGCTGCAGAATATGAATTGTAATCTATGTAAAGTTCTGCAGTTTAACCGCAAGCACTGTGTTGTAGACTATTCACAGTACATTAATAGTAGGTACTAGGCTATAGCATGTATAGGTCTTGAGTTAGGAAATGAAACATAGTTACTCTTCATTTTGTTAGTAGTAGGTGTGATATTAAGTCATATGATTAGTATGCTTATATATTTGTAAGGGAATGGAAAATATTTCAGCATGTCAAGGCTGAGATCAGTTGGATAGTTTTCTGTATTTGGAGGGATTCTTTATCATAAAACATATATTAAGAATATTAAGGTTTGTTTACAAAGCATACCTCCTAAGTATATTTAAGAAAATTATGCAGACAATCAATCATAGTCATTATAAACAGACAACACCATACATCAGAATGGGTGATATAGTTAATATTCAGTACAGTGGGAACTTCCCTGAAAAGTTTTTGAAGCACGTGGAAGTAAAAATGTACTTTCTGTTGAACAATAAGATACATCTTTCTATCATTGGGCCCCATAAACCTGGAAACTGATACACAATAGCAACTTCTCTCCATTATGGAATGATAGGTGATTTTTAATTAATTGGAAATTAACAGAGATTTTTGGTGATTGGATAAAAATTGGCAAAAGGAATTCGGGCTGTTACACATTTGATAATAATCATTCTACTGGCATTGGTCACATGACATTATGGATTCTAACACTCAGTCCTGTGTTTCTACTGAGTTTGACTAATACAACTTTTGAAATATACCTTTTTTCTTTGTTTCTTTTTTGCTTAATATATTTGAGTGTTGTACATGGTATAGCATTCCATTGTGTACACTACTAACATATATATGCATTGTACTCCCTTAAAGATAATTTAAAAACTACACCAGAAAGCACATATTCTAACTGAATTCTTGGAAATCACGTAACCACTGTGGATATCCGAGTTGTGTAGATTTTGGCAGTAACTGCAGAAACCACATCAAAGGAGACACTGGGTACTCTGAACTTGCATAATTTCAGTGAAAGTGAAACTTATCATTCAGCAATTTTGTTGAGTTGTAGGCCTATAATAACCTCATTGTTCAATGAAAAATTTTAAGTTCTTGTTTCTTGAAATACACATTTTGTGGATGGCTGATCCTGTGCTCAGACCCCAAGCTTCACTCTCACCCTTGGGCGTAAATTTTGGCTAATGATCAAAACTAGCAGCATGTGGCTCAGTGGGCTAAACCTATGTGTCTATAATCAGAAGGTTACCGGTTCAAACCCAGCCTCAGCACGGCTTTGGGTCCTTGAGCAAGGCCCTTAACCCCTGGTGCCCCAACAGGTGGCTACATTTTGCACGAAGCTTACTCTGCAAGTTGAGGGAGACTCTGGTGGTGCGGGTCCATCCAGGTGCCGGACCTTGCCCTTGCGCGGCTTGGTGAGGATCCACTGCTGACTGCTGGGCTGTTTCTTCTGTGAGTCCTCCTACTCCCCAGATCGGGTGACCTCATGCAGGAGCTCCAGGTCTTGCTGGTACTGCCCCCACTGCTCGTCCAGATGGCGGCACACCCTGGCCAGTTAGGCCTCCAAAACAAAGCATGCTTCCTTGCAAAGGGTCCCGTGGGGTGGATGCAGCCTCATCTCCTGACGTTGCCCTGGCCCCGACCTCGTCTCCTGATGTCGCTCTGGCACCCGGCTCATCTCCAGGCTGATGCCTGACTCCCTGGTTGCCGCCAAGCTGATACCCAACTCCCCAGACACCGCCAGGCCAGAGGGGATGGACCTGGAGGATGCAGCCCTAGAGTGGGACCCTCTGGACCTTGCCCTTAGACCGATCCCTTTGGTCCCCACTTCTGGTCAATGGTCACGCCACCCCAGTCATAAGCTTTGGTGAAGCTGATGGTGCAGGCTTGGACCCAAAAGAGGGGCTGACCAGATCTCGATTTCAAAGAGAGAGAGACGGGGGCACCTCCCTGTTCTGGTCCAGGCAAGGGTTACTGTGACAGCCTCCTATTATTGTTCCTGTTCCCATTCCTATCTTTGTTCCAGTCCTGCAGTCTCCCCGTCGTTCTGTCCCTATCCTGGTATCCACCCTGTTCTGGTGTATGTTGTGTTGGTCATCCTCCGTGCCCCGAACTGTCCTGTGCCCCCAGTTTTATCTTGTGCTTGGTTCTGTGTCCCGGATTGGTTCCTGTCTGTTGATTGTCCTCTCTGACCTTCCCCTGTCTCATCCTACCCTGGTGTTGGCCCCGTACATCGTGCCCTGCGTTGTCCAATGTTCCAGCTCATGTCCCCACCATTTTGTTCGGTCCCTTGTGTCCCCTCCCCGACTTGTCCTTCGTGCCTGGAGGGTATGCTTTAGAGAGGGGCTAAGGCAGGGGTAGCAAATCTTACCCGCAAAGGGCCGGTGTGTATGCAGGTTTTTGGGATAACCTGTAGGTCAGCTGTTCAAACCCAGGTGTGAGGACTCTTCAGCCAATCAGTCCTCTAATTAGTAATCTAATT